CCAGAGCGATGCTCCTGCTCCGGAGCAGGGGAGGGCTGTGAGCAGCCGGGTGTTGTTTGCTGCAAGGAGCAGAGGGTCGATCCATTATTGCAGCTGGCATTTGGGAGCCGTGGGCAGCTCGCAGGACTTGGCACTTCCTATTTTTCATGTGCTCTGGAGGTGGAGTTTGCACTTGGTTTTGTGTCTGTGGTCAGCCAGGGCAGAGAGCTGGGGTGTGGGAATCCCTATGGGTGTGGGAATCCCTACGGGTGTGGGAATTCCTACGGGTGTGGGAATTCCTATTTATCCAGGCACCGTTCCCAGGGCACCCCACAAGGCTGGGGGGGGAAATACCAGGCTGTCAACAGCACAGCACAGCCCTGCTCCTTCCAGCACGGTGAATTGAGTCCCCTCACAGCCAGGGCACAGGAGCTGGAGCTGCCCCTGCCCATCCTGCCTATCCTGCCCATCCTGCCCATCCCTCCCTCCTGCATGCAGCCACTGCCATTCCTTCAGCCCGACCCAGGAGCTGCTGTCACCACGTTCTGCCTTGTCATTTTTGTCTTATTAAGTGTGAGAGCCTCAGCTTGAGGCTCAGGCTGACAGAAACCAATGTTTTCCCACCGTAGGAAATGCTCCCAAACCTCCGTGTTTTTCCTGAGGGCTGTAAATAACCCTGCAGGCGACGTCTCTGTCACTGCTCCTGGAATTCTCATCCCCACAGAGCCTTGGCTGCCCTCGGGTTTGGGATATTGCAGGGAGCCAGGGCTCAGCTCCATCGTCCTGGCATCACTGGGGAAGCCTTGGATGATGGATCCAAGGAGGGATCCCTGAGGAGCTGGGTTTGCTCCTGAGGGGTGGGAGCAGCACTGGGGATCCCCAGAGGGGTTTGGGATTTTCAGCTTGGCCAGGGGGGAATGACAGAGCTGCCTGTGGTGGGGACAGACTTGGTTCTGTGACAATCCCAGAGTCGTGGAATGGTTTGGGTTGGAAAAAGAGCAAAAGTTCATCTCATCCCACCCCTGCCATGGGCAGGGCACCTTCCCCTACCCCAGGCTGCTCCAGCCTGGCCTCGGACACTTCCAGGGATCCAGGGACAGCCACAGCTGCTCTGGACACCCTCTGCCACGGCCTCAGCTCCATCTCAGGGAACGATTCCTTCTTACCATCAAATCTCAACCTGCTCCCTATCCACGAGCAATTTATCCCCATCCATCCTCACACCAGCAGCATCCTTCAGCTGAAATATCTCCTCTCCCCTCCCCGGGGATGTATTTATAGGCTGATCCCCTCCCCTCCTGCCCTGCCATGTGCAGGCTCCTGCAGAAGCAGCTCCCAGCTCTGCCCATCCATCCTGCTTGTTTTCCTGCTGTTTCTCCCCTCCCTGTGATTTGTAGCTCTGCGGTTTCCCAGGCCAAGATGCATCTCCAGGGTTGGTTTTAGTCGTTCTCAGCAGAGTTTAAAGCCGTGCTCTGCCCCAGGTGATGGATTTGGTCCCGCCGGGATGTGGGAGCGGGGCTGTGGGTGAGGCTCCTGTCTGGGTGAATTATTCACCTCTGGAGGAGGCTGGGGCAGCAGCACAGCAAGTCCCAGCTCGTGTGGGTGTTCCAGGGTGAGCAGTGCCAGGGCAGAGGGCTCCCAGCCAGTGCTGGGTGCTGCAAACCGGCTGTGCCACCGCGGCCAGAGCGGGGTGGAAGTGGCACATGGCAAAGGGGGTGACTCAGCTGCCACCTGGGCTGTCCCCAGCTCACCCTGCAGGAAATGAGTCAGGTTTGAAGGAAGGAAAAACGCTCAAACGATGGGGCAAGAGTCCTTCCTGCGCCAGGAGGAGGAGGGAGGCGTCGGTCACAGGAGGGACAGGATGGAGGGTCACAGGCTGTGCTCAGGTAGGGACACCTGGCTCGCTGCGGCCTCTCCACAGAGTTTGCGAAGAGGGAGGTGGGAACAGCCTGGAACTGATCCCACCAAGCAGACCTGGGGGGTGAGCTCAGCTCTCACCTGCCCTGGCACCCAGGAGTTCCCTCAGTGTTGCCATTGGCTGGAGATGCTCTTTCTCCTGCCAGAAATCTGTGTGGGGAGGTCAGGAATCACAGAACACGGACTGGGACATCCCTTGCCATGGACTGGGACACTCCACCAGCCCAGGTGATACGGGGATGGGTGCAGAGCAGGTTCTGACCCGCGTGTGCCTCTCCCCCCGCAGAGATGGACACCTTCAGCACCAAGAACTTGGCCCTGCAGGCCCAGAAGAAGCTCCTGAGCAAAATGGCCACCAAGACCATCGCCAACGCCTTCATCGACGACACCAGCAGCGAGATCCTGGACGAGCTGTACCGGGCCACCAAGGAGTACACCCACAACCGCAAGGAGGCCCAGAAGATCATCAAGAACCTCATCAAGATCGTGATGAAGCTGGGCGTCCTCTACCGCAACGGGCAGTTCAGCCCCGAGGAGCTGCTGCTCATGGAGCGCTTCCGCAAGAAGGTTCACACCTTGGCCATGACGGCCGTCAGCTTCCACCAGATAGACTTCACCTTCGACCGCAGGGTCATGTCGGGCGTGCTGACCGAGTGCCGGGACCTGCTGCACCAGGCGGTCAACGGGCACCTGACGGCCAAGTCGCACTCGCGCATCAACCACGTCTTCAACCACTTTGCGGACTACGAGTTCCTGTCGGCGCTCTACGGCCCGGCCGAGCCCTACCGCACCCACCTCAAGAGGATCTGCGAGGGCGTCAACAAGATGCTGGAGGAGGAGAGCATCTGAGCCGGACTCTGCCTCGCGGCGTCTGCTTTGGCCTTCGCCGGGCTCGCCGTGCCCTCCTCCTCCTCCTCCTCCTCCTCCTCTGCAGTGCTCTCGTGCTCTCCTCGTTTCTCCAAGAGACTGAACCTCCTGACTTTGTGTGCCCAGGGTCTGCAAACCCCTCCCTGCGCTGGGCTGAGCCCTCTCCAGGCCATCCTGGGAGTTCAGGCCCCTGCTGTACAGTTGCATTTCCTTTGCCCACCAAGTGCCTTTAGCACAGAGTCCAAGGGTTTGGACTCTCTGCCTTGAACTCTCTTCCCTCTGAGGGGAAGCTGAACCAAAGACTCGCGGTGTGAAGCGCCTCTGAGGTGTCTCTGAGCAGGTGGGAGGTGTTGGGGGCATCAGTTCTGAGACCCCATCACTGCAGGGCTGTGGGACGCCGTGGTTTTCCTCCAGCAGCTCCACAACGTGGTGGGAGCAAATCATGGTCCAGACTTGTGCTGGCTGCCTCGGGCAGGAAGGGGCTTCTGCCTGGGCTTAGGTGTCCTCAGAGACAAATCCCTGAGGCCAGGAGGAGCCAGGAGGAGCCAGGAGGAGCCAGGAGGATCCCTCCTCACCTGGGAGGAGCTGCTCCATCCCTGGATCCCTGGAACCACCCAATTGCCCACCAGCCTGCAGTGGTGGTGCCACCTGGCAGCTCCAACACTGCCCTTGGTGGTCAATCCAAAGCCCCCCTGCACTTCCATCCCTTTTCCACACCTGTGACTGAGTGACGTTCGTTTTTAGCAAACTCTGTAGCCCTGATGAGTTATTGAAATAAACTCACTGTGTGGCCTGGGAGCTCTGTGAGGCTGTTCTAGCAGTGGTGACAGTGACAGGATGAGCCCTGGGCACAGCTGGCTTTGCCCCCAGCTGCTGGTGGCTCTCTGTGGCCTGGGCTTTGTGCTCTCTGCCCCCTGGCACTGCTGCTGGTTGTGCTGTCCCTGGATTTGCATGGACAAAGGGAAATGGCTTCCCCTGCCAGCGGGCAGGGCTGGGTGGGATACTGAGAAGGAGTTCCTCCCTGTGAGGTGGGTGAGGCCCTGGCACAGGGTGCCCCATGCCTGGCAGTGCCCAAGGCCGGGCTGGACAAGCTTGGAGCAATCTGGGACAGTGGAAGGTGTCCCTGCCCATGGGAGCTTTAAGGCCTCTCCAAACCCCAACCATGCCATGATTTGGTGAGACCCCGCTCCCAGCAGAACCCACAGGGGCTCCTCTGCACCCCCACATCCCCTCAGGGCCCATGAGCAGAGCCCTGGCAGCAGGGGTGGCTCTGCAGGCACAGCCCGGAGCAGAGGGGATGCTCAGGGCACTCCCAGCACAGCTCTGAGCACTGGAAATTGCCCTTTTAGCACCCGAGACACCACAAAACCTCCACTGGCCTTATCTCTGTGACCTTCTGGTGCCTCCTGTTCCCTGGATGTCTGAGGCACGGGCTCCTGCTCCCTTCCCACCCCTGGCACTGATAACTCTCAGCCTTAGAAGATGAAAGAAAAGACACAAAGGCCCTGTCTCTGTCATTTCACAGGCCTGGCTGCAGCTGTCACCGATAATTGTGTGACACAGCTTGGGTGGAGGCAAAGCCCATTCACAAGGGGGTGTGGAGAACAGCAGGAGCCCTCGGGAGGGCAGGAACCAGAGCTGGGAATCCCAGGCAGGTGTGCTGGGATGGGGCTGAGGGATGCCCAGCCAGAAATGCTTTGCTGTTCCCAAGCTGTGTGTCTGTGTCAGCTGGAAAATCCCCCTAGACCCTGTGCAGCCCCCAAATCCCTGTGAGACACCTCAGCTCCTCCTGGCCAAGCAGCAAAAGGTCCCCATAGCTAGAGTGGGGAGGAGGGACAGAACAGAGCAGCTTCGGGCCAGAGCACGATGCTTTATTCCTTTATTTGCGCTGTATTTACACAGGAAAGGGATTGCACATTCCCTGTTATTACTCCGGATAAGAAAAAAATCATTTTCCTGTAGGTATAAAAGAGTCCCGTGGTTGTGCTGACACGTGGAAGCGATGCCTGGATTGATTCCTGATTGTGCCAGAACGAGCTGCTCTGCCTTCCCCCAGCCCAGCCCCACACTCACCACGGAGTCAGAGCTTTGCCCAATCCTCTCCCTCCCCCTGAATTAATGACTTCCTCCTGTCACGCTGGTGGAGAGAGCAATCCCATCTCCCCTCCAGGGACCACAGAGTTAAAACCTCCCTTTAGCAAGCCCTGCTTAAGTCCAGCCCCTTATCTCCCTGCCAGGCAGGCAGATAAGGAGCCCCTTTGCAGAGCCAGGCAGGAAGGGGCACAGCAGGATCAGGAGCCTCCTGGGCTGTTACTCTGACACAAGGCAGAACAAATCTGTCCCCAGCCCTGCAAGCCCCCACTCGTGTCGGTCCCCAGCACGTTGCAGCGTGGAAAACATAAAAGGTTTGGCCAACCAAAAGAAAACCCTGCAGGAAATGCAGGAAATGCCTTCCCTGCCGTGCTGGTGTGGCCGTGGCCCCTGCCCAGGGCTGGCCTGGGCTCACAGCTCGTCACGGGGGGATTTTGCCACAATCATCAGCTTGGACAGCTCGAAACGGAACTTGCCTTCCCTGTGGGACACTGCAGAGACAGAGAGAGAGAAACCAGGGTCAGCAGATGGAAAAGCAGCAACAAAACAGCTCCATTGAGCCCTTCCCAGCGTGCTGGGCACTGCTCTTGCACATGCCAGGCTGGGGTGCAAGCCCTCCTTACCCAGGGATTTAACCCACAACATCCAGCTGCCAGGGGTGGACTGAGAGCACTGCACCCAGCTCCATGGCACTGCCAGCAGGATCTGAGATAAACTGGTGCCTGGCATGTCCCCCAGCCCAGCCCTTCCCTCACAGCCCCCCAGGCACACACCTGTGGTTTCAGTGACCCCAAACTCCTCCTGTTTTAGGGGGATGTCGTTGAGGGCGCCCGCAGCAGCCTGAGACTGAAACAGGAAGGAAGGAAGGAAGGGTGAGAGGCTGAGGCAATCCAGCAGGTCACACAATTCAAACCGACTGCAAATGAAGGGGTTTGAGATTTACGTGCAGGGAAAGAATTAAGAGCACAAAGGAAGTCTGAAGGAAAGTCTCTGTCTGTTTTTCTATGTCCTATTAAACCACGGGCTCGTGTCCTTGGGGTGAGTGAAAGCCTCACCCCTGGAAACTGGGAAATGGAAGAATGAGCCAGACAAAAACACCAGCAGAGGTTTCATTTGCTTTGTCACATGCAATTTGTTGAGGCAATCCAAGGCTCCCTTTGTGCCCTTTGGAGCCCCCTCCCAGGCAATGCTGTGGCTGAGGGCAGGCACACAATGGAGCAGGCTGCCCACCTGCAGCCCCTCTCTGCCTGCCACCAGCCCCTAATTAGGGACGTGATGGAGCACATTTCATGGCACAGATGTCTAATAAATGTTTTCCATGTCTAATTCATGTTTTATAGCAGCCTCCCACACTCCTGCTTCCCCGGGATCAGCTGGGACTTACATAAGCCATGGCATGCTCTATCTTGGCTCCTTTCACTTCAGCTTTAAACTGGGTAAAGAACAGATAAGACTTCCCTTGGGGCCTGGAAGAAGAAAGCAGAGCCTTTGTCATGGGCACAGAGGTGCAGAGGAGGAGGAGCAGAGGAGAGGAGCATTCCTGGCTCCCTCCCTGCCCCCACAGCCACCTCTGCATCTTTTATTGTGCCACAATCTCTCTCTGTGCCACCGAGCAGGGCAGAGGGGAACAGAGAATTTACAAACCAACAGCTGCACCAAACGTCCCCAGAGCATCCCTGGCAGAGGGGAACCCTCCCTGACCAGGTGTCAATCCCTGCAGGGTCCCTGTCCCTGCCCCGCTGTGCTCAGGACACACCTCCAGATGGAGCAGGAGAAGAGCGCGCCGTCCTCGCTCACCCCGACCGTCATCTGCCACTGCTGCACGGGACAGAGAGCCGGGTCAGCGTGGGGAGAGCCCTGCGGGGCCCAGTCTGCCCTCCGGGGGCAGCAGCAGCTCCAGGATCACCCAAACCCTGCCCTTTGGCTGCAGCAGCAGCTCCAGGATCACCCACCACCATTCCCAGCTGCAGCAGCAGCTCCAGAATCACCCAAACCCTGCTTTCCAGAGGCAGCAGCAGCTCCAGGATCACCCAACCCTACCCTTTGGTTGCAGCAGCAGCTCCAGAATCACCCAACCTTCCCCTACAGCTCCAGAATCACCCAGCACCACCCCCAGCCCTCCCTGCTGGCCCCTCCTGCTCCCTGCAGTTCGGACTGGGCTCTCACACAAACATTTCCCAGCCTCTTTTCCTTTCAGGGTGAGCAAAAGGAGCTGGCTGCAGCAGGAGGTGCCCAGCTCACCTCATTGGTGCCGCCCTGGGCCGAGTAGGTGAAGGAGCAGCTGTAATCCCCCTGCAGAGAGAGGAACAGCAGCAGCCCCGTTCAGCACCAGCTTTTCAGGAATTGCTGAGCTTGGAGAAGCCTCCCCAGGCCACCAAGTCCAGCAGTGCCAAGGCCATGCTGACCCTGTCCCCAGGTGCCACACGGACTTAAATCCCTCCAGGGATGGGGACTCTGCCAGTGCCACTGTGCCAGTGCCCACCTCCCTTTCCGTGAGGAATGTTTCCCAACATCCAGCCTAAACCTCCCCTGGCACCACCACGTCCTCCTGCCTGGTGTGCTGGGGTGAGGAATAGCGTTCTGGGGTGCCCAGGGACCCCCAGCCCCTTCTGCACTGGGGCCCTTCCCTTGCTGAGCCCCCTTCCATGAGGACCTGAGACCCCCTTCCCCTCTCCCTGCCCTTGAGGTACCTCCCCCCTTCTCTTGTGGCATCCCCGTTTGGGACCACCTTTCCCTTGCAGACCCCGGCACTCCCTGGGGTCCCCCTGCCCTTGCAGACCCTTTGGGACCCTCTTTTCCTTGCAGACCCCTGGAGTCCCCCTGCCCTGCAGCCCCCTTTGGGAACCCCCTTTCCTTTCCAGATCCCTGTGGTCCCCCTGCCTTTGCCGCCACCTTTAGGACCCCCTTTCCCTTGCAGACCCCTTTGGGACCCCCTTCCCCCTGCAGATCCCTGGAGTCCCCCTGCCTTTGCAGTCCCCTTTGGGACCCCCTTTCCCTTGCAGACCGCTGGAGTCCCCCTGCTTTTAGAGACCCCCTTTGGGGACCCCCTTCCCCCTGCAGACCCCTGGGGTCCCCCTGCCTTTGCCGCCCCCTTTGGGGACCCCTCTCTCCCTGGGGACCCCCCCATCCGCTTGCCCCGCCCTCCCTCGCGCCCAGCCAATCCCCACAGCAGGCGATATGAGTGACGTGCCGCGCAGCCAATCAGCGAGGGGCGCGTACCCTCTCCGCTCCCGCTCCCTCCCTCCGGGCCGCTCACCAGGCTCCGGGAGAAGGAGTGAACCTCCCCGCCGGGCCGCACGTCGAACTCGGCCGTGCTCGAGGCCGCTCCCGGGGCCGTGCCCGGTCCCGCGGCCGCCCGGGCCGCCAGGCACAGCAGGGCCGCGGGCACCAGCGCGGCCCACGCGCGGCTGCCGCTCCTCCAGCTGGGCGCCGCCATCTTGGAGAGGAAACGCGAGTACGGCGGCCGGCAGGGGTCAGCGCGGCGCCGCGGCACGGCGGCCATGTTGGGTGTGGGCAGGAGGCCGGGCGGGCAGAGCGGATGGACAGCGGGACATGGGGACCCAGGGACAAGAGGACAGAGAGACACGGGCACGGTGGTCAGGGGCAAAGGGACCAGACATTCCTTGGCATAGAGACTCTTCCACCCTTGGCAGGGTCTGGGTCTGTGGCACAGCCCAGCAGGGCCAGCATCAACCCCAGGGTGAGGGCCATGGGATGGGGCTGGGGAGAGGGGGTCAGGGACCCTGGGCTGAGCCTCCAAAGCAGGAAAATCCTGCATTAGAGCACAGGGGAGGCACAGAAATCTGTGCCAGCTCCGAGAGGGGCTGAGGGGGACCAGGGACAGGAGGTTTCTCTGCAGAGGCCGTGCCTGGAGCATTCCCTGTGTCCCAGCACGGAGCTGGGATGCCTGTGATTTCACCAAAATCCCTCGCAGGGGATTCTCCAAGATCAATTTACACCCTTTGGTTTGGGCAGCACAGACACACCCGGAGCCCAGCCCTGGCCTTGGACACCCCACTCCTCCTTTGGGGGGAACCCTGGGATGTCTGAGCTGCTCCAGTTGTTCTGCACGGCCCAGGACAGAGATCAAATCCCTGAGACCCCCAAACACCCACCAGAGTTTCCACTGACGTGGCTTTCCCAGAGCCAGAGCTGTGGTGGCACCTTTATCACACCCACTTTGGGAATGGAGATGCCAGGAAGTTTTCCATTCGAGCATCTTTCAGGGCAAGGAGGGACTTTTCTGAGCTAATTCTGTAGCTCGAGGAGTGATTTTGTTTTAAAAATAAGCCCTCCAGAACATCTGTTCTCCCTCCACACCATCCACCTAAAAATAAAGCCCCACAGGGTGAGTTTTGGGAGAGAAATGCCTCCCAAGCCGCTCTCAAGTCCCAAATTCTTGAGGAAAAGTGCTTTTTGCCTGGTTTCCCCAGCACCTGCTGGTTCCTCTGTCATTACCACTCACTCAGGAAATTAACTCAGCTTCATTTCATCCTCCAGCTGCAAATCCTCCACCCAGAGCCACCCTGCTCCCATCCCTGCCCGGGGTGGGGCCTCCCACACCATTTGTGTTTCAATCCCCGACAGAGCCTGTTCCATATGGAACAGCTCCTCGAGGAGATTTCCCAGCTAATTCCTCTCAGGATTCTCAATCCCCAAAAGAAGATGACCAACCCCTTTTTAGGGTGCCAAAAAATCCAGCAGCAAGCTGGGGGATCAGAGGAGCCAACAGATCTGCAAACTCTTCTAGACAAGAGCGTCTTAAGACATTTTAAGAAACACTCAGCTTTTTGGGGACAGGAAAAAGCAGTTCAAATTAGGCCTAAAAAATTAAATTAGGGAAGCACAGAAACAAACTCTGCAAAAATAAAGCTTCTTACCATCCAGCAGCACCCACCTAGCTGTGAGGAACAGAGGGTGCAGGGTGCTCTTATAGACACATCTCAGAGGCGCAACTTCCTCCATCCCAGTCCCTCCTTTCAAAACTCACACCTGAGGGGATTTGTAGCAGCTAAAGCACAACTGCAATATTTGGGACAATTATCTGGGCACAGGGACAAGAAGAACGGGGAAAATCTGCTCCCAGCCATCCCCAGGAACCCATGTGGAAGAAGCTCTGCATTTAGAACAAGCCTCCAGCAGCACCCTCAGGGCATTAACAGCGGGTTAATTAACAGCAGCTCCCACGGAGGAAGGCAAAGCAAGGCCAGGTTTGGGAGCTTTGGGCTGCGAGGGCGAGCAGAGGCAGGCCCAGCCCTGCACAAACAGCTCAGCGTGTCCCAGAGGGGGAGCAGAGCAGCTGCACCCCCAATCCCACGGCAGGCAGGGAGGGAGGTGCCCACCCCAGGCTGCTGCTGGCTGCTCAAGGTCACTGTGAGCCAGCACACAGCCCAGGATTCCCAACCCTCAGTTGCTTGGATCGTGCTTCCCCCGAGGAACATCAGGGATTTAATATTCTCTCCACTGCTCGGCACAGAAAGAACAGAGCACTTGGCTTGCAGCAGAGCTGCTCTGGCTGTGGCAGCAGCTGCTGCTTCCTCCTGCCCCCCAAAGCAGCCACCACGTCTCTTTCCAATATTTTAATGAGTCGCTACATCTTACACTCATAATTATAAAAGAATAAGAATCCATAAAAATATTTTCTTTTCATAATACGCACTTAAAATACTCCAGGGCAAGTCAACGTGGTTCATTTGGGTGGGTTTTGTTTGTGTTTTCGTTTTGCCCCTGGCAGAACCCTTGGCTTGAGGGGGGGATGTGCTCCCCTGAGGTGTGATTGCTCAATCCCCCTCCCCAGAACTGCAGTTCCTGTTGCCCAGGTAAATAAAAACCAGGAGAGAGCGTTGCTGAGGACACGGGCAGGGCAGGGGGACCAGTCACTGACCCGCAGAGAACTGAAGCACAGCCAATTTCAGTGCACATTGGAAAGCTCAGGGAAGGACAAGGGGACAAGGAGGCGGCGCAGAGAACGGAGGGAGGGAGGATTTGCATAAATATCATCCATCTTGTGTTGCAAAAACCCAAATGCTGCTGTGAGCTCTGGAGAGAGGCTCTGGCTGTAGCCAGCTGCCTGTGCTACCTGTTGGCACAACTCTGAGTGAGAGCGGCCATGAGAGGAAGGATCAGAGGGCGCCGTTACCGGCCCCGGCCACTTCCTCCATCTGCTCTGCAAATTTAAACTTGAAAATAGACAGATATAAAAAAGAAAAGACTAGTGTTGCATGCTTCTGTAGACCTCTCTTCGGCTCCCAGGGCTCCAGTGTGGCAGCAGGGCCAGGACACAGAGCAGATCCCCAGGTGAGCAGTAGGTAGTTCTCTTCCCTCGCACTCCTGGCTTAAGGCAGCTTCTGATTCGGCTCTTCCGTTTCCAACACAGGCACTGAGTTCTTGCAGGTGAGAGTTTGGGAACTGCACAGGTGCAGTGGAAGAGGAAAAGGATTGGGGGGAGAGAGATGGACACAAACCTCAGCCTCGGGACACAGACCACTGTCCATTGATTCCCAGGAGAGAGGGAGTAGCAGCAAAAAAAGCATTGAACAGCCAGGCTGGAGGAGAGGAGGAGGACGAGCAGCCGAGCAGGAGCAGACCTCCAGCTTGGAAAGTGAGAGAAGGTGGCACTGTCCAAAGGGAAGGTGCCCTCCAGCTTTTCCCCCTGGCCTGGGGGTATCCCCAGCCCGACGTGGGCACTCAGCCCCTTGTGCTCTGGGTTGGACGCTGCCGGGGAGCGGGAGGGCACGGGGCAGGTGAGCTGTCAGTGTCCAGTTTGCAGAGGCTCGTGCTCTCAGAGGTATTCTTGTAGAAAGTGCAGCAGCGTGATTTCGTAGTGCTCTCCTGACTCAGGGCACCGAATACTGTGTCTCTCGTTGGGGTAGATCTGTGCCAGGGCAGATAGGGGGCATTGGTCACTCAGCAGGCACAGAGCTCCCTCCCCTCAGCCCTGCTCCCTCCATCCCGTCTCCATCAGGATAAATAATGCCAGGGAAGGTCTGGAGCACCCCTCCCTCACTGCAGCCTCCCCTGCCAAGTGGGACACAACAGCTCATGGAGGAGGAAAGTTCCAGGCTCCGGGGCAGCAGCTCTGCCTGCACATGGCACATCTGGCAGCCACGGAACAGCCACAGTGCCACCTCCCGGCCTCCTCTGAGTCCAGCGAGATGTTCACTGGCACCAGAATCACACAGCATGTGGGGATCTGCCTCCATCCCCTCCCATGCCCAGAACACACAGCAGGGAACTTCCTCCAGATCGATGGGACCTTCCCTCCCCTCTCCTGTCCCTCCTACCTGCAGCTGGTAAGGTTTTCCAGCCCGGATTAGCTGCGATACCAGGAAGTTGGTGTGAAAAAAGTGCACATTTTCATCCAAAAAGCCATGGAGGATCAGCAAACGATTTGGCCTGGATATGGGAGGAGAGATAAGGAGAGAAACAGGATGAGAAACCAGATGGAAAGCACAATGAGGCACCAGATAAAAGCTCTGCAGAGGGTTTGAGCAAAGAGCTTCCAGCTGGACAAGCCAAACCCAAGCAAGAACAGTGCCAGGCCATGGCCATGGGCCTCAAGCCCTCCCTGCCAGGGGGGCTGGGGGTGCTGCGGCCCAGCTGCTGCCAGGTTAAAGCAGATCAGAACCCCTCCATTTCCATTCCTGTGGCACTGAGCAGAGCTCCAGGAGCACCTCTGGGGTGGGTACTCACTCATTGGGAAGCTTTTCCACGTGCAGTGCCACCGAGCCAGCCTCGTAGCCCTGCTGGTTGTTCTCGGGGACGTCCATGTAGCGCTCGGTGTAGCCGGTGTCGTAGGCCATCCACACGGTGACAGGGGCACCTGCTATGGCAATCTGTCAAACAGAGAGGTGCCACCAAGCCTCCATTAGCGCCTGCTCAACAGCCCAAGTGTCCCCTGCTTTCCTGGACAGGCAGCAGAAAGGTTCTGGGCTGTTCTGTCACTGAGACCAGGATTCTCCTTCAGCAATCCCACTCACAACCCAGATTCCTCCTCCTGCTGTTCCTCTTGTGGTCACAGTGGGGAAAATTCCTGCACATCAGCACTAAAGGGCTCCCCTCTGCAAGGAGGAGTTGAGAATGATCCAGAAACTGTGCTGGGCATTTGGGATGGGGAATAGCACATCAGTATCTCCCTGTATGGCAGACCAAGCCCATCCCAGAGCCATCCTCCTCCAGCCCCAGCCAGGGATGAGCTGCAGCAGGACACAGGACTGGAGTCAGGAGCTCCAGGCAGGCAGGACAGGGGGACATCTCCACCACAAATAAACCAAAATGCCAATTCCAGCTGCCAAAAGGGACAGAAGCTGTGAGAATCCAGTGTCCCAAAGGTGCAGGCTCACCTTGAAGACGTTGGGTTTACAGATGAGCCCCATGAGGGACAGAAAGCCCCCATAGGACCAGCCGTGGATGGCGACCCGGCTCAAGTCGATGAAC